CCCGCCAACTGCTCCTTTAATTGGTGAAGGACTTCTTGAGTACTAACATAAAGGATAATATCTATAGGGACTTGTGAGCCACACAAGCAAATTTAGAAATCATGACTTCTAGGGGGTTTGTTCTTAATTGTTTTTAAACTAAGATGCACCCCTGGGAGTGCAGAGGGTCATGAGAAAATTTATGGAATGAAAGTTAACCACTGCCAAACTCATACGATTGAAAGTTGACCATTCTCATGTTTAGAATATGGTTTAGGCACCTGCAATTGAAACTAAAAAGTCTGAATTTAAAAAGGAAAAGGAAAAATCCATTAAATAATTCCTGAAAATCAGAGATTCTCAGGACTCTGAAGACAGTATTCCCAATTTAGGCAGTTCTATCCCCACTGGAGATCTTAGAATCTCGGGGTTAGAAGTGACCTTGAAGGTCACCCATTTTACACTCCTCCCCACCATGCAGGAATTTTCTATAAAGCCTCCTCAACAGGTGGCCAACCCCCTACATCCGCCTGAATGCTCCCACAGAAAGGGAGTCCAGTCCTTTGTTGGACCGCCCTAATTGTTCTTCCTGATGTTGGCGATGGGTCCTGAAAACAAAAACAAAAACAAAAAACTCAGCAACAATTGTCCAGTTTGACAAACCTCTTGCCTGTGAATCATGGGGATATTTTCATGGTGCAGCTTTAAAGTACTTAGGAATGTGTAGGGTTAAAAAAAAAATCACCATCAGCTGACGGGTATTCCTGCACGCTCCCTTCCAAATACCGATACCCACTCTCACACTAGCCTGCCAAGATTCCACTTAGCAGCTGGTCCCCAGTTACATCTCTTCAGTTGACTTCCCAAGCAAGGCTCCCAGAGGCTTACACAAATGATGATGCATGCACAGAAATATTTGTTAATGACCATGGGTTTGAGAAGGTGTTAGTCATGGCTAGCATCTTACCCTTTCCAGAAGAATAGAGAGGCTGTTGCAGCCCTGTGTTTTCTTCTGCCTCTGGCCGATTGCTTGCTCTTAGCTAACCCACTAACCCTTGGGAGTCCGTGTGCAGCAGTGTGCTGATGTAAGCTGCATCGGGGCTGAAATGGGAGCTCCCGCTATGGCACTGGTTCAAGTAGCTAATCTAAAGAGAAAGTATTTTGGGGAAGACATCTTGGTTGCACCCCTCACTGCATCTTGACTAATTGCTTCCAACTCCGGGGGCTTCCAGGGACAGTCTCATTGTTCTCTCTCGCCAAGGGTCAGCCGTGTTAACCATTTGTTAATTTCTCCTGAACAGATCAAGCAAAAGTAGATAATCTGCCAGAAGAATTAGTACGTAGTGCTGAAGATGGTAAATATCTTTACGTATTTGCATGTCTGTCTGGGGCGGTTTGGGCAGTCACTGGGACGCAGCTGTTGGATAAATAGAAGAACGTCATTTGCCACTATGTGATGAATGGTGCCTAAGTTATTATAAAATGGTTCTGACTCGGTGCATTTAATACTAACTATTTGTATTCTCAAGGCTTCTGCTGGTGATACCTTTGTGAGGATCTCATCAGAGACCCTTGGCAAGCGAGGGTTTCTATAAATAGGAAATTGTATTTCTATTGGTATGAGCTGATTTTTGCTACTCTGACTTGCAAAACTCCTTGCGAGGGCAGGAAGCATCGGGTGGGTTCCTGGGTTAAGTTATTCCTGTATTGGATTCGCACATCTCAGCATTTGGATCTCTCTGGCATAGCTGGTAAAGCTTTAACTTCAAAGGAAAGAGTCCCAGAACCAGAGTCAGGATCCTCCTTGGGTAATTTAAATAGCTAAATATAGACTGAGGTAAAATTTAACTGGTTCTGAATATCCAGGAGCCAGAAGATTTTGAACTTTGTCAATGGATTATTACTGGGTTCAGTTATAAAATACATAGGGTAATAGTGCCTTTGGGGGGAAGGGATGGAAATGAGTCTGATCTTTATATTTTATAGCTCAGCATTTATGCAAATGTATAGTTTACATTTGTATACTAGAATTGTGTTTTCTAAATTGCCTTTACTATAATAAAAAAAAATGTGTATTAACTGAGTTTTCCATATAAAATGCAGCATCAGAGCTCCTCAAAGGTCATTCCTTACTTTTATGTCATAGTTTTGTCTTTTTCATTTCATGTTTACAACAACTTCATGGAAGTAGGCGGGGCGGGGATTTTCATGGTCCTTTACTGATAAGAAAAGCTCAGAGAAATTAGGTGCCTTTCTAAGATCCTATAGCTGGTTGGTCAGTGGAGGGAGGTGGCAGCTAGAATCTCGGCTTCATTGCTCCTAGTGCAGTGCTCTTTGCATTTCCCAAGCTATGTGTGGCTCAGTGAATTAGAGGAAAGATGCTAAGCATCTCCTGTGCTGGATGTTGGATTTTTAGTTGAACAGGAGACCCTAAAGCGGCTAATGAAGAGTTACTCTGGGGATCAGATGAAAGCAAGCTAAAAACCCATCAGATGTATTCTTCAGTCTCTGTTGTGAAACTGACATTTGAGCTTTACTTTCATGTCTCTTTAATCCTTCTGTTAAAATGGTATTTATTCTCAATGTTGCTCTTCTGAGTAGATCAAAAAGCAGATCAGGAACCAGATACAAATGAATGCATACAAGGAAGTGAGTAGCAGGATCTTTCTCACAAATGACTAAATGTTGCCACTTTACATGGTGTTAAATATACTGAAATAACTAACACTATTAATAACACAGTATTTATTATTGGTACTAAACTCTTGCAGCTTATAAAACTATTTCATTCTGGCAAGCGTTTTATTAAAAACATTTTACTGCTGTCAGTGTTGAAAGATTAATTCACGGTTCCACTGAGGAAGAGTTATGTACTTAAACAATTTTTATGTAGACACACACACACACACACACACACACACACACACACACACATCTGTGTGTGTGTGTGTGTGTATTTTATATATAAATATATACATGTATGTTATTGCTGAGTATTGTTATACTTTTGTACATCTCTCTGCTCTTTGAGTCTTGGCTTAAAATGAAGTTGGCACCTTGTCTTATCACTTGACTTTTATGTTGCAGTATATGGTCTTGAGTATTGGATCTCTTGTGGCCTTTACACAAGACTGTAGACACGACACAATTTATGAGTTATTTAGACATAAGAAAGAATTGTACTTTTACAAGTATGTGGTATGGTTGTATATGCCTCTCTCCATATCTATGGAAGCAAATTTTATTATGTCCAGGGTTTAAGCTCTGGGGTTCAAAACTGGACTCAGTATATATTCAATATATAAAGCAAGTGAACATCTGAGTTTTAAGAAGTAAGTGTATACTTGTGGTGGCTAATGTCCATCAGCTAATTAATATCCACCACGAATCAAAAGTAATGATTATTTACTCTTTTCTGTTCAATCTTAAGATGGATGTACTTAACTCTGACTACTGTCTCAAGGACAAATAGCACATTCAAAGGGAGTTTGTGGGGCCTTGCAAAGGATGCAGATAATGCGTGTGTGTCTTCTAAGCTTCTCGCTTTCAGTCAGTTTCATAATGCTAGGTGCTGGAGGTATGAAGACAATGATACACATGTCTGCCCTCAGGAGTCTACAAGATTTTTATTGACAGTTTGCCAACAGTCTGGATGTGCTAATAAGTCTTAATGAGAACAGCAGCTAACTGAAGGAGCCATTCGATAGAGAAACAAAGTGCTGATGCTAGAAGGCAGTGACATCTAGTCTGAAATCTGAAACTTTGCTCATAAGGTCATGCCAGAGAGGAAGGTGTTGAGCTCTGGCACATGACCTGGCAAAAGGACACTCCAGGCTTCAGATCTTAGTGTGTGTTCTCTGTCCAGCTGCTGCAGAGGAAACAAAACTCCTGCCCCTTGGGGGTGTTGGGTAAAGAGATTTCTCCAGTTGCTTTTGAACTGGCAGATACTTAGGTATGGTCATCTTGTTTTATCTTGTTACATTTTGTTCAACAGTTAGCGGAGGAGTGAAAACAGTAACATGGACATATACGCCAATGTACCTGTGTCTTCATTCATGACCCAGCTTAGGTCAAGCCACGAAGGCTAGTCATGTGCTGAATTCTGGATGTATTGATTTCTCTCTTATTTTATATTATCCAAGATGACTTTAATGTCTGGGCTGAGACTATTGCTTTTCTCCAGCGAAGACTGTATTCTTACCAAAAAACAAAATGAAATACATGATCAAAACATAAATAACTGAAGCCTAATAAATGTAAAACTGACTACATTTGAGGAGCAGATGTAGATGTAGATTTTGCAAATAATGGGAAGCAGTATTACATAAGTTTTGTGTACTCATTGGGCTGTACTGTGCCCTCACGGGACCTAGTCTTACACCACTTCAGTGTAAGTCACCTGAATATGCACACATACATATTATTGTTTAATGGGAAGCAATTGAAGAAGGTATCATTTCATGAGTCACCGTAAAATGTGTTTTGATACATTTGTGAGCCAAAGGCTAGATGAGAACTATGTGAATAAGAAAATATTTAATATATATAGTTCAGTTTTCAGTTTTCCTTCATTAGATTTCTTTTAACCAAACATGAATTTAGCTAATGCTTAGGGCTGAATTTGAGGCTTTTGAGTTATATATAGAAATATAATTTGATTTTTATCTATTTTCCTGGTATCCTTTGACTGCTAAAACCAAGTCAGTATATTCCAGCACATGGAATAGGTAATTTAAGGATTATCAGACAATATTTACTTTTTTAGCAAATAATTATATATAGAGTATACTATGTGCCAGGCACTATTCTAAGGGCCTTGAAACATGTTAACTCATATAATATGCAAGCTCTGATTCACTGTAAGAAAAGCTTAGACACTAATTCTTTCTTTCTTTCTTTTTTTTTTTTTTTTTTAGTTTATTTTTTGAGAGAGCACGCATGAGAGAGAAGGGGCCAGGAAGAGAGAGAGGGAGAGAGAGAGAGACAGAGAGAGAGGGAGAGACAGGTAGAATCCCAAGCAGACTCTTCACTGTCAGAATGGAGTCCAGTGTGGGGGCTTGAACTCACAAACTTCAAGATCATGACCTGAGCCAAAATTAAGAATTGGATGCTTAACCACCTGAGCCACCCAGGTGCCCCAGACACTAATTCTTAAAGAAGGAAATAGGTTTCTAACTAGAATTACACAAATGAGGAATAAAATTCATCATCTCATTGTGACTTCCACGTATATACTTACTGTATCAAAGGGTATCTAAATTAAGGTGTCTAATAAGTCTAAACAATTTGTTTAAAAAAATAGTTTGGAATCATAGTCTTTCATAATTCTGAGTGAGAAACACTATCAGAGAAGTGATCCTCATAATCACTGAACAAACAAGCCTTCTCTTAGATGCTCAGTAGCCAGGACACTTTTATGATTGAGTTGTGTACGGAGATCCTTGCTGTCCAATGAAATAGTTTTTCAGCCTGCAGCATGTTTTAAAAATACATCTCAAGGAGATGAACCAATAAATCACACATCATGTGGTTCAAATCTCTGATGTGAAAAATAAGTAAAACTGATTCACAATGTCTCTATGTCTTAATAAATATAATTCAACTCCAGCTCCAGATTAATAAAAATGAACAGTTTTTAAATTAATTCTTATTTTCAATTGGTTCATCTCCTTACTAGTTCTCTCTATATAATTTATGAAAACTGCATGTTGCTTATCTTAGGATCCTGTGCATGTGAACTACTGTGCCTTTAACCTTTTTATAAAAATATCTCATTCATAGACGAAAGAAAAGTGTGTTTTCAACTTATGCTTTATGTTTGTCCAAAATTGTAAGGATAATTTTGAATGGAAATGCTGCTGTTTAGTTTCCACAGTGCCTTCACAACCTGATAATCAGTTTTCCCACCCTGACAAACTCAAAAGGATGAGCAAGTCCGTTCCAGCATTTCTCCAAGATGAGGCAAGTTTGTCTTTTGTAATTTCAGAAAAATGGAACCAAATCGGTGAATTTGTTCTGCCAAGGTTGGTGTGTTTTTATTCAGCTGTGGCAGAGACCAAAGAGGTCAGCAGGACTGACCCATGAACTTTCCTGTCAATAAAGGTAGTGTTGTTGATCCTGGAACGAGGCATGGCATGTCTCATTTGACTCAAACGGCAACTCATTTTGGTGGTGAAGTCAAATTGCGTTGATTTTGGAATATGACTTTTGTTTCAAAGTGGGTACAAAATAAGAAACCCCTACAGAAATATGTTGGTGTGAAATAACCACTCTTTAGTTTACAGTAGAGTTGATTTGTGAAAGCTTAGTCTGGGTAGCATGACTAGCTTGAAAGCATTTGGTAAAGTAATAGAGTGACAATTATACAGCAGACTTTAAGGATATCTCCTGGGCATAGACAATTTGTGTACATTATCTCATTTGTTCCTCCAACAAGCCTAGAAGGAGGGCACCATCATTATCCCCAGACTTTACAGGTCAGGAAACACCATGAGAGGTAAATAACATCACTCATCTAGAAAAGGGTTGAACTAGGACTGGAGCCCAGATCCAATTATCATGGTTAGCCATTTTGCCTAGTGCCTCGGGTCAGAACAGGACTATTATCTGCTATTCCCTGAATACTTTGTAAATACCAGGCACTTAATATTCATTCTGATATCTAACTGTCACTAACTAAATGTGGTAGGTACATAAAACAGGAAAGTGCCTGAGATGTTAAATAACTTTCCCCAAATCCAACAGCTGCTAAAAAGTAGACCTAGGACTTTAACTTAGGTCCTTTGACTTAGTTAAGATTCCATGTTCTGGGTTGGGGGATGGGTTAAAGAGGTGAGAGGGATTAAGGAGTGCACATGTCACGATGAGCACTGGGTGTTGTATGGAATTATTGAATCACTATATTGTACACCTGAAACTAATATAACACTGTAAGTTAACTAGAATTAAAATAAAAACTTAAAAATCCACCCCCCCCCAAAAAAAATAAAAGATTCTATGTTCTTGCAGCCAGGTAGTTAGGAGCTTGGAGTCAGACACTCCTACTTCTGGCTGTGCTACAAATATGCTGTGTGACTATGGGCAAGTTTCTTACTTTCCCTGTGTCTGGGAAACCTGATTAGGTTGTGAGGAGTCAGTGAGATAATGGAGGGAAAACACAGGGCATCGTGCCTGACACATAGTGAATACCCAGTAAACATGAACTGTTACTATTTTCAGTTCGGGTCTGATTTTTGATGGTAAAATTAAAAGCTTTATCCTCAAGCATTCTCTTAGTAGATGAAATATGAGGAAAGTTCTAGACAGCATATAAATTACATATCTCTTGCCTGACCTCCTGGCCTTCCCTTTGTCTATTCTTGGGCCTTAGATGAACTGTATCTGCAAATATTCACCCCTGCATATGCATAACAGCCCACATTATAGTTCCTTTGAAAAGAATCACTCATTCTTTGAAACTAAATCATTAGTTGGAAGCCACTGGTAGGCACCTCATGGAGTTCCTGTGGTTTTATACCTTTGTAAACAGGCTTTGGTCTTGGTTGGTCATATGAATAAGCTATATAATAACTGAAGAGGCAAGTGATACCAGTTCTGGTTTTTCATTCTCCTCCTTCACTTTTAATGTACTGCCTCACAGCTCCACACAAAGGAGAGTCCAAGTCATTTGAGTTTGTGCATCAGAGATGCCAAATTAAGCTGTATAATTTTGTCTTTCAAAGCACATGGGTCAGACTAAATGTTAAAGGAAGTGGACATGAAACCAGGCCTTGTGCCTTTGTCCATTATCCCTTTGAGGCTTAGTTTAACATCAGTCACATTTGTTGAGTACATGCTATGTGAAAATTGGTGTTCCAGGTCAACAAGACAGGATCCCATCCTTCATGAATTCACTAGTGACCTGATATACTAGGTAGACCATAGTGCATGATATAATAGAGGGAAATAGACTGTAAGCATGTGGGGAGAGGGTGTGACAACAGAGACATTTAAAGGGTATGGTGTTTTGTTGTTGTTGTTTTTAAATCCTTGAGGGAGGATATTTTTCTTATCCATATAAGTCATAAATTTTGTTTTTCTTTAACTCCTTAACTCTGCATTTGAATTGGCATCTGTTATATTGATACATAATTGCATGGCCCCAGAGTATGTTGGCATGAACTAACTACTCCATACAGATGTTTCCCTAACTCCACTGAACTGCTCCATAAACTCTCTAACCCCAAAAGGAACACATTCTGAATCATGAATTTTTAAAGGTACTGTCTGATAAACTTTAGCTCTGAATATAATAAAATTTATTATTGCCACTTTTTTTTTTCTTGACCCAGGTAAATATTTCCTGGGACATATTTAAAATAATACTTTAAAAAAATTGTTAAAATCTAATGTGGGTAGAATTTAATACATGTTAATAAATGTAATTTAATATATACTTCCCTATAGCAATAAAAAGATAAGCACAATAGCACTATGAAAATACATAAGAGGTGGTTTAGAATTCTTAAATATGTATATATATAAGTTCTAGTTGAAACAGATCAAACTAGCATTTATTTTTCTAGTTTAATAGTGTCTCAAGTAAAAGATTTGAATTTTAGGGAAGACAGGCTATGTTAATAATGAGGAATTACACACGACATTTTATGTTTTGATAGTAAGTCTTAGACCTTTTATTGTGTGGGTAAAGTTAACTTCTCATATCTATCAATAAAGTTCCCCAAGTAACCTAAATACATATACTAAGACAGTAACAAGAAAGCTCACAGTAATGCTGCCTTCTGTAGCACTATGGGCCCACCTTGTAGGTGAAAAAAAAAAAAAATCACTTTGTTATTTTGGTAGCAAAGCACTGCTCTCCTCCTTAGGTGAGGTCCAAGATAGACCACCCATTTCATCCTGAATCCCATTCCCTGGTGATTAGCACGAGTGTCTTTTGACCTTCAGAAATGTTGACAGATCCCTGGGATACCGAGATACCGTATTTTTCTAAATTGAGATTCTGATCTTCACTCATCCTGAATTTAAATTTTGTGTATATTATATGATGTTTTGTAGAGTGATGACAGAGAAACAGATACAGCATCAGAAAGCAGTTACCAGCTCAGCAGACACAAGAAGAGCCCAAGCTCTTTAACCAATCTTAGCAGCTCCTCTGGCATGACGTCCCTGTCTTCTGTATGTAAACAAAGGCTCCGTGTTAATATCTCTCTGCTTCTGTGAACCTTGCTCTGCCATGCTCCTTCTTACTAAATGGCTCCCATTGTATTCCCAGATTCCAAGGGCACTAGCTTTTTCTCTAACCCACAATTAGCTTCTGGCTAGCTAAATCTTTGTTTTTCTTTTTTTAAGCATAAAAAGAGTTCACATCCATTATAAATGAATATGTTTTTTGGGATGTAAGTGCTTTAGAAATAAGCCTAAATTACCAACAAGATGAACCACTGCATTTTTCTCTGCAACAAATGGGGTAACTATTGTTAAGTTCTGCTTATATTAGAAATGTTTTATATTCTCTTTGCAGGTTTAGAATTGTATCTCTCTTTTAGCAAACCTGATGAATAAAGGTACTGATTCACATAAAAGAATGGGATTTCTTTGCCTTACAGAAGGATTTAGAACAGGGTTTTAAAAGGAAATCTACTTAAGTGTATTCAGGTTGGCTTTAGAAAATTTGACTCTACCTAGAACTTCTTTCATAAAGTGAGATCAGTCATTGTGCATGTAGTATGTGTGTAGAAATATATATATGTAAATATATCCACATACACTTACCAAATAGTTCTCTGATATACATAAACATGCACATATCTCACCAGGTATGCTAATCAAATGATAAAGCTGTACTTAAATTCTTACTAGCCTCCCATTTCTCAAACTTTAAAAAAAAAAAATCTGTTTAAATTGAATTTCTGCTGATAACAATCAAATGTTTGGCCTTGGGAAGGCTTTCAACTGCCTTCATCAATCATCCATTCTCTACCCTTCCTGACCTCTAAAGGCGTATGGCCCAGTAAGCATTTTCCTAGATTTAGTGGATGAGTAACATAGTAAAATTCCTTTTTAGTGCCTTGGAAATTTGATAGAGCAATGTGTCACTGTGATTTGTGTGCCTGGGGTTTCTCACATCCTCTTTCTTTAATGTCTTAAATACTAAGCATGCCTAAAAATGGAACTTTGAATGCCCCCCACCATAAAAATCCCCCTGCTTTGAAATGAGCCAGTATCTAAATAACTTTGCATTTCACTTTTCATCTGTATCTTTTAGAGGCATTTTTTTTTTTTTACACACTAGTTGTGCCATATATTACGTCAGGTTGTCTGTGTTGGCCTGTCTTTATGCCATATTTTATTAATTGCCTTAAGTGCAAACTAGAGAAATAATGGCAAGCAAAGATTATATTCATGATCCTTGTATTGGATTTGTGAAAGAGATAGAAACAAACACTGTGTGTTTCGGATGCTTTCAGGTGAGCGGCAGTGTGATGAGTGTTTACAGTGGAGACTTTGGCAATCTGGAAGTGAAAGGAAATATTCAGTTTGCAATCGACTATGTGGACTCATTGAAGGAGTTGCATGTCTTTGTGGCCCAGTGTAAAGACTTAGCAGCAGCAGATGTTAAAAAACAGCGCTCAGACCCGTAAGTACAATTTGAAGTAACTGTTTTAGTTATTCGTAATCTTGCAGAAACTGGCCAAGAAAGAAAGAAATTGAAGGGAGGGTATGTGTGTGACTGCATCAAAAAGAAATGTTTGACAAGAAAAGTTTGGGGGAAGTGCTGTTTTATTTACTTTATAAATTCATATGCCAAAGTTATTAAACTATAAAAATGTCAGAGAAGCACAAAATATTTCAAGTTGGAAGGGACCTTTGAGGCCATCTTGTCCCATTCATTCTTTTAACAGATAAGGAAATTAAGGCCAGAAAAGATAAGTGACCTATTTACATAAATTCAGAGAGTCAGCGGCAAAACTGGGAATAAGGGCTTAAACCCTAATCTGTTCCCATGACTCTCAAACTTCTCTAAAGTTAGGGGCATGTAGGGGCATACTTCAGAATGTTCAGTGGTGCAGGAACAGTTAAGATTCTAGACTGAGGTAGATTCTAAATTTAACTTCTATTTTACAGAAGAACTTTAGGGGGAATTACCAGCTTGTCTTTTAAATCAGAGGCTTAATTGATATTTCAGTTTATTTGCAAAAATTGAGTACATTCCTCACTTATCCTTATGCAGAAGTCAGATTCTTAATTATTTTGCTGGTATAAGCCTAATCCTTCATGCTTTTATTATAAAAACAATTGGGGCCAGTATACTTTTTTCCCCCATTGAATGTGGCTTGATTAGGTTGGTGCTAAGAGTAATTTTTGTTTTCAAAAGGCAGTAACAAAACTTTTTAAAAAATTCTGTAAGCACCAGTCTTTTCTTAATTGGAAACAAGCCAGTAAAATTAAGCACTACATTAGAGGTCTGTCCCCCACCACCCTCCATATCAGATAAGGCCAAAGAAAAAAGGAGTTCAGGAAATATCCTTTAAAAAATTTTAAAACAATTATGAAATGATCAATTCTGCTGCAATGTGTTTAAACGTTTAAGTATAAAAGACATTAGTGAGAACATTCATTTACTTATCACTTTTCTGAGTGTCATGAATTATTTCTGTCAATTACCAATGCATTTTTCAAAGTAGAGATAGAAACATGACTTTTATTTTCTCTGACCTTCTTGTCTTTCCGCTTCTCTTTTTAGATATGTAAAGGCCTATCTGTTACCAGACAAGGGCAAAATGGGCAAGAAGAAAACACTTGTAGTGAAGAAGACCTTGAATCCTGTGTATAATGAGATACTGCGGGTATCTATGAACTCTCTGTCTAGGAAAATCCTAAATAATGATGTGTCACTGTGATTATGTGTAAATAGCCATGTTGTCTAAAATTTTTTTAATGTGTGTTTATTTTTGAGAGAGAGGGACAAAGAGACAGAGTGTGAGCAGGGGAGGGGCAGAGAGAGCGGGAGACATAGAATCCGAAGCAGGCTCCAGGCTCTCAGCTGTCAGCACAGGGCCCAACTCAGGACTCCAACTCACTGAGATCATGACCTGATCCAAAGTCCAACGCTTAACCAACTGAGCCACCCAGGTGCCCCTAAATAGCCACGTCTTCTTGGGTAGTATCTCTACAAGTGAAGTCAGTCACGGGGAGAGAAAAAGGGAAGGAATAAACATTTTCTGACAAACTGCCTTGCATGAGACCATACACCTTGAATGTTGTTTGCGTTCTGTCATGCATTCTCTACATAGGCCACCAGGAGGATACTGCCTGCACCTCACGGATGAAGCAGGTGAAGCTTAGAGAAACAAAGGAAATTGCTCAAAGACACACAGCTGACAGAATTGAGCATCGTAAAAATGATTTACCAAGAGCATAATTCTGATCATGTTATTTCTCTGCTTAAAATCTTTTAGGATTCCCATTACCCTTAGCGGCAAGTCCATCCTTCTTAACACGTCACCAGTCCCTCCACAACCCAGGCTCCAGCCTCCTCTTTTCAATTTCAGAGTCTTTGCTCAGGTCACCCTGATTCCTTTCTGTTCTTTGGAGGAACTGACTACATTTTCTCATACTGCTGGACTTCCTGTTCCATCTGGCCAGAGGGCTCTTTCCCACATTCTATCCCTAACTACCTCCTACAGCCTTAAATGCCTCTTCCTATGAGAGGCTGTCCTTAACCCATCGGGCCACCTTGCGGTCTGCTGCCTCAGTCACCTTGTTCTATATTAGGCTTTGTTAACACTCAGCACTTGAACTGCTAGCCTCATTGTCTGCTTTCCCATTAAACTGTGAGTTCCAGGAGGGCAAGGTCCAACTCTGTGCCATTTATCAACTGTGCGTTTGGGCAAATGACTGAACCTGTCTGTGCTTCATATCTGCCAAAGGGAGACAATAAGAGTACCTACCTACTTCAGTAGGTGTGAACATTAAAAGAATTAATATATGCAAAGTGATTAGTATGTATTAAACACATGTTGACTCAATACAGTGTCTGAATAGGTACTCAAAAAATGTTTATTGGAAGGATAGATGGGTAGACAGATGAATAGAAAGTATACCTGCCTTGGGGCGCCTGGGTGGCGCAGTCGGTTAAGCGTCCGACTTCAGCCAGGTCACGATCTCGCGTGTCCGTGAGTTCGAGCCCCGCGTCAGGCTCTGGGCTGATGGCTCGGAGCCTGGAGCCTGTTTCCAATTCTGTGTCTCCCTCTCTCTCTGCCCCTCCCCCGTTCATGCTCTGTCTCTCTCTGTCCCAAAAATAAATAAAAAAACGTTGAAAAAAATTAAAAAAAAAAAAAAAAAAGAAAGTATACCTGCCTCAAATACCCATATTTCCCCCTACCCCAGACTGTATAATGTTGTCTTAGTCATGATAATTTGAAACTGGAAACAGAAGAAGTGTCATTCATTCCCTTTTTCTGAAAGGCTGTCCAACTATTTGATTATCCTCTGAGGAAAGAAGCAGAATTAAATTAATTTTCAGTCATCCATGGTCAATTTTTTATAGATTTTCTGTAGCCAGTTTTTAATTACAGTTTGACTGTGATATACCTCCATACCCTAGCTGTTTCTAGGTCAACTACTTCAACCCTATACTCAGGAAAAGCCACCTAATTTAAATGGTAAATTCAGAGAAAGACCAGCCTGCTACAACAAAAATGGACATTCAAGTAGTACATCATAAAACCAAATAGAGATTATTTTTAGGTCAGAAGTACTATTATCCCTCCCATGATTATATACAATCTAGGATTGATTACATCTTAGATGAAAAACTGTTAGGATGCCAGATATTTTCCACTTAACCATATGAATCAGGAAAAAGGAATTTAATTGAAAAGTACCTTGTCATTGCAGGATATCTATAGTGGGAGATGTTGTGTGTAAATGGGGGCAAGTGGTATATAGGAATTTTCTGTACTTTCTGTTCAGTTTTGCTATAAATCTACGACTGCTCTAAAAAATAGAGTCTATTAGAAAAAAAATACCTTGTCCTTAGGTAGAAAACAGACCACAGGATTAAACTTCATTAGCATTTTGAGACTGAATTGGACTTATGTTATATCTAGTTTGAACAAAAAAACATCCAGTAAAAAATGAATAATTGGCTTTCGTTTTTATAAAGCTATTACTGGCTATGATATTTGAACTGTGGTTTGCTTTTCCAGAAGCAGAAAGAAAATCAGCTTTTGTGAAAGATGGATTTAGCTCTTTGAAACAAGACACTTAGAATAAGATGACTTTGCAATATCTTTGAGACTTGAAACCTAGCAGATGAGAAAACCTGATCTGTACAGATGACTTTTCTCTTTATCTCTGTGTCATAACTTTGGCATAAAATAATATTATTCACCACTTTAATTTCCTTCTTTGATCTGCAGTATAAAGTCGAAAAGCAAATCTTAAAAACACAAAAGCTGAACCTGTCCGTTTGGCATCGAGATACATTTAAGCGCAATAGTTTTCTAGGGGAAGTGGAACTTGACTTGGAAACTTGGGACTGGGACAACAAACAGAATAAACAACTGAAGTGGTACCCTCTGAAGCGAAAGGTAAGTTCTGACGTTTTTGGTTTGTTGGTTGGTTTGGTGCCTGGCATGTAGGAGAAACTACTATAAACTGCATTTTAATTAATAACGGTTATCCCTTGTTTGGGATCATTATATCTTTCACTCTGTCCAATATGTCTCTTATGCCCTTTTAATGTATTTTCTGTTCTTTTTTTTTTTTTCTCCTCTCCAGAATTCAGGCTGGCTAGTTTCTGCTAACTTGTCTTTCCATTCAAATAATTTTCTTATCTGCTATGTCTAAAACACCCATCTTACAGGTTCTCAATCGTTATATTTTTCAGATTTATATTTTCATTTGATTTTTCATAGACCACTTCTCTCCTAAAATTCTCTATCTTAACATTATCCTCATGAACATATTAATCAAAGTTATTTAAAATATATATCTGAAAACCCAATATCCTAAACATTTGTATGTCTCTTTTATCTAATTTTTTATCTTAGTTTGGTCATTTGGTCCTTTGTCCTGGTATGCCTGTTCATTTTTTATTGTAAGCTAGACATTGTATATGAGAGTTCTAGGGATACTTTGAGAGGGTTTACTTTCGTTTCTGACACACAGAGTGGGGACAGAACACTTTGAGAACAAACTGACTAGAAGCTGGGTTTCAGTTTTCATGTGGTCTCATGTAGTTTTTGTTTGCTCAAATTCCTAGCCTATGGCCCTTCAGGGATTCCAAGTGAAAGCCTAGGGAAGTAGTTACCAGATTTTAGCATGCACCCCATTCACGTGAAGTACTTATTATAATACAGATTTCTGGGCCCTATTGCCAGGGTTTCTGATTTAGTAACATCTGGGCCCAAGTTTCTAGCCATGGCTGGTTGCTGATACAGCGTCTTGCCTGGGGACCATACTTTGACAACCACTGATCTAGAGTATGTCTAAGGCTATTCCTTTCTATTATGCTCTAGTTTGGCACTACTTAAAAATCAGCTGATGCCTCAAAGTGAAAAGCAACAAATGTCAGACTCAAAGATGTTCTCCATTTGAGTCGTGATAATAATTCATTAATTCTTTCAAATAAATTTGTTTAATCCAGTTTTTTTTTTATTGTTCCCAGTGTGAGGGTTGGTATGATCTCAGCTGGAAGTGATGAATATCAATAGTAGAAATCATTGTTCAGCATCTCCATAATAAACCACTTGTGCTTAAGAAATGGTTCCCAAATATTGCATCAAAATCACCTGGAGCACTGATTTCTAGTCTTACCCAAGACTCACTGGGTGTGAATTCCTTAGAAGATGTCAAAAGCTTTTCATTTTAAACTAACCCTTAGGTTTCTGATGCATAGCTATGTTTTGGCAATAAGGCTCTAAAGGACCAGAATTTGAAAGTGAAACCAGCTCTCTTATACTTGAAAATAATAGATACACATTTTAAAATTATTGTCCAGTCTTTGTTATTCTTACAGACATCAAACCATGTGATCTGAAATGATCAGGTTAATGCAGCTTTGGAAATGTAATGTTTGGATTTTCTTCCCCCAGACTTTCCCCACACTCTTCTTACTCAAAGAAAGAGTAACTCAAATAAATAGTTTTATGTCTGACTGGGTGACCAACAAAATTTATGTGCTTTTATAAAAAAGCATCCCAGAACATTTCTTCTCTCTCCAAGAAAGCCATTCTGATTTCTTTACTATCTCTGAGACTAAAGGCCTTGAGATATTTTCTGGGTACCAAGCAAGTCTTTCCAAGATACACAGTATGGCTTTCCCAGATATAAAAGCAAGAGTTTAGCTTTGATGGAAATGTTAATTCAGGGCACTCATGGGTGATACATACTCACAGAAACGGGCATTTGTTGTCTTATAACACAATATCAACAGAGTAAAATAGTTTGTGTCTCACACTTACTGACAGTGTCCTTCATTTTCCAGACAGCACCAGTTGCCCTTGAAGCAGAAAACAGAGGTGAAATGAAGTTAGCTCTCCAGTATGTTCCAGATCCAATTCCTGGTATGTAATGATTTTCCATCCAGATTTATGTCCTTTCCCGATCCCTTCCCTCTCCAAGGATTTCTTTGAACTCTGTGATATTTTCAAAGGTGAAACCCTAGGCAAAATTATTAACTAAGTAATTATATGGACCAGATGAGTCAATTTATAGTTGATAATTCTTTATTGTGGTAAAAACACATAATATAAAATTTATCATCTTAACCATTTTGAAGTGTACCTTTTGTAGGATTAAGCATATTCACATTGTTATAAAGCAGATCTCTAGACCTTTTTTCATCTTGCATATCTGAAACTCTGTACCCTTTAAACTTCAGCCTCACCATGTCCTTCTCCCAGCCCCTGATAACCACCATTCTACCTTCTGGTTCCATGGAAAAAAAAAATGTTCAGTTTCCAAAATTCTCTAGTTTACAATCCTTGTTTGAACTATCACCTCACTCTCCAAAAGTTTTTTTTTTTTTTTTATTGTTCCCAGTGTGAGGGTTGGTATGATCTCAGCTGGAAGTGATGAATATCAATAGTAGAAATCATTGTTTAGCATCTCCATAATAAACCACTTATGCTTAAGAAATGGTTCCCAAATATTGCATCAAAATCACCTAGAGCACTGATTTCTAGTCTTACCCAAGACTTACTGGGTGTATCTGCACAGTGTGGATGGCCTTTCCTGTGTTCAGAATGGAGCCTGGGTGTTCCTCACAGGCAAGAATTAGACAAATTCATATGGAGCCCTTAGGAAGTAAGAGTGTATTGGTTCCCCATTCTTAAGGTCTCAGCAGGACTGAAAGCTTTTTCCTCAAGATTCCTAATTGCATCCTTGATGTTAGGGCCTCAGGTCTCCAGCCCAGTTAAGGAGCAAGAGACTAGCAAGAAATGAATGCCTGCCATTACTTCCTAAGCAAGTTCCCCAAGTTTTTCTCCTTAAGAATCTGTATAAATGTTATGACTGAAATCAGAGGTTGCAACTCAACTGCTTTCAGTAACCAGGCAGTGAAACCAGTGGCATGAAAGAAATCTTGGATGGTAAGGGCAGTGATTGAACTAGAAAAAGCATTCTAATTCGGTTAAAAAAAAAAAAAAAAAAAGAATTGGAGGGCAAGTAAAAGATATCTTTAGGTCCATATGGCTGCCAAACCACCGTCTTGTTACTTCTGGATCTTCCTAAAAGGCAGATTTTTAAAATATATAATTTCTATCCTATCATTTATGGTCCACATGCATAGAAATTCTGCCAGTCTGTTTTCCACCACTATCATTTCTTGGTGGGAGCAGGGGGCAAAGGAGATGATGTTTTGTGGTGGGCTCCACCTTCTCTGATTTTTTGTTCATGTAGTTTCTCTTCTCTGGAGTGGCTTCCTCTCTCAACCTATCCAAGTCTTAGATGAAGCCCCATCTTCTCCATAAAGCTTTTCCTGGCTATATGCATTCACCCTCGTTGAGCACATCATCACCTAGAACATTATAGTAATAACTTGGCATTTCATTCTGTATTACATTTTTATAGTTTTTATTTGAATTACTCTTTTTAAGTGTAAACATTTCCCGAGGACATAGATTTCTTATGTTCCTTGTATCCAATGATATTACTAGCATAGGGCTGAGCATATAATAAATGCTCATTAAATTCCTGTTGGTTAATTAGGTTAACCCATTCAGAAAAATATGGTAGCAGTCCTCTGTCCATGTGCACCCAGCCTAGCCAACAACTAAAGAGTAAGCCAACTTCTCAGAATTCCCTGGCCATAACCCTAGTTATTATGTGTGTGTACGCAATATTGTCACAAAGTGTGTAACCACATTTAACAAGAAAAGTGGCTGTACTTAGCCAGTACCTGTTTTGTTTACTTTATACTCATTATGTTTCAAATGCCTCCCATTAACAATATTTGAAAGGAATATGCATTTCATTGAGATGTTTTGAATATAACTGTAAATGGATGATTTATATACCTGATCTCTATAATTTATCTTGAAACAAGCCAAACCCAGAAATAATGATGTAGTACTCTGTACTTGGAATCAATATGAATTATTTGCATAGAGTTATCTGAGCTCAGTGCAGCCAGACTAGGGAAGATTTAGTTAAGAATGTATAAATTTAGCCAATTAGGATCATATCATCAAGCTCTAGCTAGCATCACTGTTCCAGACTGCATCTTTGGATGCAGTATTGCCAAGAGAGGAATGGCAGTGAAATTTTCTTTTCTGCCCTTTTTCAATTATAGGTAAAAAGCTTCCTACAACTGGAGAAGTGCACATCTGGGTGAAGGAATGTCTCGATCTACCTCTGCTAAGGGGCAACCATCTAAATTCTTTTGTTAAATGGTAACAGCATTGATAACTCTGCCTCTCTCATCTCTACCATAGCCCAGCCTTTGCTGGTTGGTTTCAAGCCTCCATACCTGTGATGCTGAAACTCATCATTCATGGTTTGAAATGAAATAACTTAGGACAGCGGCAACACATTCTGGAAGGACCTGTGACATGAACCCCTAATTTGAGTTTTTAAGTGGCAAACTTTTTTCTCTGTTATACATGTAAATGCCTGGCATCAAGTCAGCAGTGTCTAAACAGCTATTAGTGTGCTCTCTTAGCCCCCCTGACTGATTTTATCTATACCTATTCTTTCAGAAGACCAGTTGTAGCTGTTTAAGTTTATATGACATTATTTGTGACTTTCTCTCTATATATTATTCATAGATGTCAGCTGGTAAGATTTTTCAGCTCAGGGCAGTCTCTCATTCTGAGACAACTTTCAGACCTTCTTGTATTTATAAGAGGTATGGTAGGTTAAAAACAGAAAAGAGATAATCAGGACTAGATCATATTTCCAAATTTTAAAGGAATCCTCAAGCAATTGCTACCATGTTAAGCACTTACTAATTGAAAGCACTGAACTAAGTTGTTTGCTTCATATGTAATTATAACATTAACCTTATGAATTAGGTATCACCATTCTCATTTTAAAGATGAAGCAAGTGAGAGATTAAGTGACTTTTCCTACAATACACAACCAATAAATGGCAGAGTCAGGATTCAAAGCAAGTCTGGTCCACTGTAATGAAGAGTAATGAAGAGTACCTCCATTAGGATGCTGCCACCACTGCCACCACCACCATGACCACCCCCACCATGACCACCACAACCACCATCACCACCCCCATCATCATTGCCATCACCACCACGACCACCACCACCACTACCACCACCATGACAACCACCACCATCCCCCACCACCATGACCACTACCACCATCCCCATAATATTCTCCAACACCACCACAACTACCATCACCACCATGACCACCCCCACCATGACCACCACAACCACCATCACCATCCCCATCCCCATCCCCATCATCATCTCCATCACCACCACGGCCACCACCACCATCACCACCACCATGACCACCACCATCATCCCCACCACCACCATCACCATCGCCACCACCACTGCCTCTCTACACTCTTTTTTTCTTCTATATCCTTCTGCCAGTCTTCACTAGCTGTGTTGAAGTACACTTAAGGTGTAAATGTTCACCATCTTAGTAAAATGCTTTCACAATGATTTCTTTTGTAGTATCATCCTTCCAGATACAAGTAGGAAAAGTCGCCAAAAGACAAGAGCTGTAGGGAAAACCACCAACCCTGTCTTCAACCACACCATGGTGTATGATGGTTTCAGGCCTGAAGATCTGACAGAAGCCTGTGTAGAGCTTACTGTCTGGGACCATTACAAATTAACCAACCAGTTTTTGGGAGGTCTTCGGATTGGCTTTGGAACAGGTAATGTCTGTTACGTTTTTAATTCTCTATGAGCCAAGTGCTTCTGGAGACAGTAGAGGTTTGTCTGCTTGTTGCTTTGCTTCTTCCTTATGAAAACAGATATTCTATTTCTGTTAAGTGTAATGAAATGAATGAATGAAGGAATGTCAGGCTGTATGCCAAGGGCTCTAGATATGAAGATTAACAGGATGTAGTGTCTGTCCACACAGAGCTTAAGTTAGAGTATGTGGGGGGTTACAGAAAATCCTTCATCACTACTCTTCCCTGAAAAACATTTATATCCTTTTATGACTAAAAGGATGCTTTAAATAATGATAGCAATTAACATTTGTGGAGCAGTAGTCACTGCACTGAGTGCTTTGATTATATTATTTCATTTAATCCTCACAGAAATTCTATGAGTCGTTACTATGTTATCTCCAGAGGAACTGATGTTCTAAGAAATGAAGTAACAGAGCTAATAAGCATCAGAGCCAAGATTCAAAGTCGAGTCTCTTAGACACAAAACCCCAAACCACACTTCCTTAGAGATTATCTAGTGTCACCTCCATCCCAGTGCCAGGCCTCTTTCCTACTACCCCACTATGTCCCTGACAGATTGTCAGCTAGCTCAGGTGACTAAACAGCTCTTTCTTCGATTGAGCCCCAGATTTGCCCTCCTGGTGATATGAAAACGCTTCCTAGCTGTCTTCCACTGGTGATTATAATGAGGGAATGACCTTCCTCGCCGCCTCCAAAGAACAATTCCTTTCTAAATGCAAAGCTTCCTTTCTCTGCCCACCCCCACCCCCCACCAGGTAAAAGCTATGGCACTGAAGTGGATTGGATGGACTCTACTTCAGAGGAAGTTGCTCTCTGGGAAAAGATGGTGAATTCCCCCAATACTTGGATTGAAGCAACCCTGCCTCTCAGAATGCTATTAATTGCCAAGATTTCAAAATGAACTCAGCATCCACTGGCTCCTCCACTAAAAACCACTAAACAGGTGGAATCTGATCTTGAAAATCTGACTGTGTGGACAGAGTTCTCACCTGCTACCTATTTCCACTAACAGATGCCACACAGCATGTTCAAGTCAACCTGCATGTGCTTCTTTGGTTACAAGGCCCAAGAGATTTAAATAATAATAAACAGTGTAACTTATTTGTGCCCTCAACATTAAAGAAGATATTTGAGAAAGCTAGCAAAATCAAATGGTACTGAGGCTTCAGGGAAAACGCTTTCAAAAAATATTACATATGGGGTGATGTTAATGAGCAACATTTTCTAGTTTGCTGTTGTGTTTCACACCACAATTTTGTGCAACATTTCAGAAGGCCTGCTTCTCGGTGGTTGAAAACCCTTGCAGGAACTGAAAATGTACAGTTTTTGTAAAAGAGGGACAGAAAAACACTCCTATAAGAAGTAGGGAGGGGGGGAAATATCAGTGATGATAAATAATTTGACCATAAGAAACCGATATACTCTATAATCTCTATTATGATATGGAATTCCGTGTTAGGGACTTGAGACTGAATTTATTGCATGTATTTCTTTCTGCCTTTGAAACTGCTTTCCACCCGGCCCCCAATGTCAAAGTCTCAGATGTGCTTTGGTGCCACCTCCTGGCTCATAGGTGGAATTCAGTTTTTGGCTTAATTTTCTCCCAAGCTCTCAACCCTGTATTTTGTCATAGACTACGTGAAAAAACCAAAAACCTTGCATATATAAGATTCTGTTTTTCCTGTAACTCTACTATATGAAATTAGCATGAGAGTGGTCACAGGCATGTTTTGCAACAAAGTTTTAATTAGAATGTAAATTGTTAAACTTTGCTTCCTATGTGTAATTTTCATACAGTATTTTGTAAAAACCCTTAGAAGAAATTATGATATGATTTAATTGTGTTGTCAAGTTAACTAGCTTCTTATTTTAAATGAGATACTTCATGTTAGAAGTCCTAAAATCTTAAATTCGCAGCAAGGCTAAAGAATTGGTAAGCTAATATTTCTCGAGTCTTTACTGTAACTCTGGACATCATTTCCTCCGAGTGAGATGCTTTGACCACGTTTTTGAAAGTGGAAGTTTTTCTTTTAAAGAAGTAGTTGAAAAGCATTGAAGATAGGTTAATATTTATTTTTGAAAAGTTTTCCACAGAGACATTTTTTGGGTCATTTTAGGATATAAAGTATGACTCCTCCTTAGGACCCAACTTGCTTGCCTTTCTCAAAACAAGCACTGTAGGTTAGGCGGGTCTGGATGGTCAGGAGTGTGAAACCTTACGACAGGTGTCTAGGAAACATCACTGAAAATGACTAGTGTGCTTGTCTCCTCTGAACAGATGTTAGAACCTCTATCCACTTGAAACACGTGAGAAACTTCTGCCCAGTAAGAGTGGCTAACTTAGAACCCCCTTCCCATGGTCTCTCAAGGTCTTTTAGGGAGATGTGTAGTCTAGCTCTATTTCCTGATCCTGCTCTGACCACAAGGAGAGGCACGAGCTGAGTGGAGGCACAGCTCCCAGGTCGAAAGTACAGATCCTGTTCCAGCTCCTGCAGCTTCATGGGGCCAGCTCTTTCTCAGCCCTTCTTTCACCTGCTCAGCCACCTCCCAGCAGCCAGCCAGCTCTGAAACACTGTGATTGGTTCTAGTGTCTCCCTATCTAGGACTGGGACTGCCTGCCTCCTCCTATTCTCAGATCCCTGACCTGCAAAACACCAGAGTGGTCAGTAGAAGCACCTTTGGTATCCAAATGATCTGGGTTTGAATTCTGGCTCTACCACTCAGGGTGACATGGGGTAACTTGTTCAACCTCTCTGTGCCTTCGTTTCTTTGTTCCCTGCAAACTATAAAATGTATATACTAATGCCTACCTTTCAAGAATATTGTTAGAATTAAATGGGAGAAGATGTACAAGTGCCTAGTACTGTGCAGGTTATATAGAAGAACTCTGGAGATAGTAGATTCAAAAAAAGAGACATTAAAAGACTTACAGGCAAGTGGAGGGGACTCATTGGTCACCACTAGGGAGAGCATCAGCCCAGTTTTAGGCTTTGAACTTCTGGGGAGGAAATAAATTGGATAATTTCAGGATCAAAGGTAGGTGGGGGGAAAAATGTTAGAGCAAGGAAAACAACCATGGCAGAGAGGAGCCTAGAGTCATTATTACTAAATGGAAGTTCTCTCAGAAAAGAGATGGTGTCTAATTTATTAATGTATACTTAGCCTCTAGCACCACACTATACCTAGTAGCTGTTTGTTGAGTAAATAGGTAAATGAATATTGATTAGGGTCTTGTGAGATTCTTAGACTTGACAAGTTATCTATGGACTTAGTTTTTTAAAATAATTTTGGGCGCCTGGGTGGCGCAGTCGGTTAAGCGTCCGACTTCAGCCAGGTCACGATCTCGCGGTCCGTGAGTTCGAGCCCCACGTCGGGCTCTGGGCTGATGGCTCGGAGCCTGGAGCCTGTTTCCGATTCTGTGTCTCCCTCTCTCTCTGCCCCTCCCCCGTTCATGCTCTGTCTCTCTCTGTCCCAAAAATAAATAAACGTTGAAAAAAAAAATAAAATAATTTTAACATAGAAAGGTAACCATTTTTTAATGTGGAAAATCTACTTAATCAACAAATGTCACTAAGCATTCACTATGTGCAAGGGGCATAGAAAGGTGGAGGGGGGTAAGGGAAGCATCCATAAGCTTATCCCTCAAGAAACAACTGCTATTAACACTGAGTATTTTTCTGTCGTGTTTTCTTTTCTTAGGAAATATATTCTGTGAATTCACTTTACTACATCACACAACCATATGTGGTAATCAGCAAATACATTCAATATATCTGTGACCCTTTTTTTTTTATATGAAGACGACTGTTCTAATTTTCTAGTCGCTTGTCTCAACTTTGTAAGTTCCATTTCAGTGTATGAGCTTGAAATTTAAGGAAAAGAAGAGAAATGGGGAAATACAAATAAGTTTAGTTCACTTTTTTTAATATTTATTTTTGAGAGAGACAGAGCACATGTGAGCACCAAGTTGGGAGGGGCCCAGAGAGAGGGACAGAAGATCTGAAGCAGGCTCCGCACTTAGAGCAGTGAGCCTGATGTGGGGCTCAAACTCATGAGCCGTGAGATCATGAGCTGAGCCGAAGTCAGACACTCAACTGACTAAGTCACCCAGGAGCCCCTAATTCATATTTGTGAAGTCTTTGGAATCCACTTTCATAAAACCTCAATATCCTACAATTTAAGTAGTTATTAAAATTTCAGTTCAGGAAATTTCCTAGTCTTCCAACATTGCTTTCCCTTTACGGACATGAGACCCTGATCTCTGAGACCAAATATCAGATTATTTCTCATCTGTTTTCCTTCTGGTGAAATCTGAAGCATTTGAAAATCCATCCAACATCTACAATGACACTCAGGCTTTTTCCTGATCATCATGACTTGAGAGATGAAATCCGAACACCAGAAACAGTGGTCATAGCAATAGTCACTAGGATCATTCTGAATTTTAAGATTTTTATCTTTCTTTTTTCACTTATATTTCTAGCATAAAATTTTCCATGCCATGAAATTACTTACAAGCATGATAATGTTTAATAGCTGCATAATATCCTAAGAAAATATAATTTCTTAACATTTTCTCTTTTTTGGACATTGAGGTTTCCAACTTTTAGTTGTTATAAGCCACACTGCAGTGAAAAACTTTATCTTTTGGATTATTTCCTAAGCAAAATGCTCCCCCAAAAGGAAGGGCAAGCATTAGTTTAAAAAGCATAAAAATGTTTTTAGTCCTCAATATGTGCCGTCAACTGATTTTCACCAATAGTGTGGGAGTACCTATTTCACTATACCCTCACCAGTCCTGGGTAGTCTTAAAATAGGGGGAAAATTGTGACTAAATTGATGGATGAAATGGTATCTAACTTTAACTTATTGGATCAGTGAGGGGGTTCAATCCTTGCCCATTTTCCCCCCTTCATCTGTGAATTTGTTTCTCTTTTTAAATTTTTTTTTCAACGTTTTTTTATTTATTTTTGGGACAGAGAGAGACAGAGCATGAACGGGGAAGGGGCAGAGAGAGAGGGAGACACAGAATCGGAAACAGGCTCCAGGCTCTGAGCCATCAGCCCAGAGCCCGACGCGGGGCTCAAACCCACGGACCGCGAGATCGTGACCTGGCTGAAGTCGGACGCTTAACCGACTGTGCCACCCAGGCGCCCCTGTTTCTCTTTTTAGATGTTAATGCTTTATTTGTTCAGGCTCTATAAAAATCTAAATTTATCATCTGTCATCTTTATGGTGGATATTTTTCCAGGTTTTTGAAATTTGCCTTCAACATCTATTCACCACACATTTATCTAAGCCTCCCCAAGGTGCCAGGCACTTGTCAAGTATCAATGATGGAACAGTCACAGCCCCTGCCCTTAATGATCTCAGGCTTAATAGGGGGAGGCAGGCAGGTGAGCCATGAGTGCAATAAGGCTTTCACAGTTTCCATTAGAATTGTGAACAGTCTCCAGTGGATGCACCAAAAGAGGTGAGCAGTCAATTCTACATGTGGGGGCCAGGAAAGGCTTCACAGAGATGATTCTCAACTGAGTATTGATGCTCAATAAGTGAGTAGAGTAACAAAGGACAAGGTGGGAAAAGGCATTCCAGGCAGAGAGAACACGCACAAACAAGGCCAGAGAGCTGGTTGGTTAGGGGAACATCAGTAGTTGGGATGGACTAGGAAGTAAAATGTCAAGCAGGTCCTAAGGAACAAGGGGCTGGAGAGACTTCAGAGCTCACAATTTAAAAAGTTATAAGTAACTTGAGATGTTCGGCAAAGTCACATTAAGCTTTTCCTTACTCCTCTTTTACATAATGAATAAACTGAGACAGTCCTTTCTGCAGGTTGTATTCTTATTTTAAGGTTTTATTCTTACCTGTGTTTCCTTTGTTTCCATTTTGAGCACTTTAATTTACTTGTTATATTTAACTGTTTAATCTGGAATTGACTTTGGTATATGATAGCAAGCCTCATCTGGATCTTTCAGTTTTAATGTTCAGCGCATCTATATTGTTCATTAAGCTTCTTTCTATAACCTTATTTTGCCATTGAGTAGAAACAGGGAAAGCTGAATATCTAATAAGATGTATCCCCAGCCAGGGACAATAGGAAGGGAAACTAAAGAAATTTCACTGGGGTTTGCTCTTGTACTGAGCTGTGTTAAACATCATAGGTTCAACTCACAGCCACTCAGGATCCTGGCTCCCAGGGCACCACTGCTACTTTGTATTTATAGATGACACATTTCTAAGGAGCAAACGTGTTTCCACAGAGAGTAATTTATTCTCATGACAAGTGAAGGGGGGAGATGGAGGAAAAATATGTCACAGGCAGCTTGATTTATTTACTCCTCCCAGAAATTAGGTGGAGTCGCGTTTGTTTGTTTTGCACCCTGATGCTGGCTGAAAACCCAGTGGGCCTGGCATCTCTTCTCTGTACAGTATAGGCCAGATGCTGGGCTGGGAGCAGAGAGCTGTGATTTGTTAGAAAGGCAAGCACAGATTGGTTCTCCAGTCCCTCAGATCTCCCTGTTCCTTCACGGCATTCTGAAGACCTGTCCACCAATCACGGGGCTGCTTACTGGAAAAAGCAACTGCTGGAGAGCGCTGGGAGTCCCTAGCAACACTCCAAGGCTTTTGAATCTGAGGGCGAACGGCTGTGTAGTCAGCCGATAGTGGAGGAGAGCAGCACCTATGCCTCAGGAAGAAAAGGCTGTCAGGATGGACACTCCACATACTGAAGAACCCTTCGATAAGAAAGACAAAAAAACAGAAAAGCAGGAAGAGGAGATGGAGTTTAAGGAGCTGGGCGGTCTGAGGGAGGCCTTGGCGAATCTCCGGGGACTGTCCGAGGAGGAGAAGAGTGAGAAGGCCATGCTTTGCTCCCGCATCCAAGAGCAGTCCCAGCTCATCTGCATCCTGAAGCGGAGGTCAGATGAGGCCCTGGAGCGCTGCCAGATCCTGGAGCTGCTCAACACAGAGCTGGAGGAGAAGAGGATGCTGGAGGCTGAGAAGCTGAAGGCCGTGAGCGAGCATGCCCAGAAGCTGGAGGAACGCTTCATGACCCTGGCAGCCAACCACGAGTTGATGATCCGCTTCAAGGACGAACACAAGAGTCAGAACGTCAAGCTCAGGGAGGAGAATGAGAAACTGAGGCTGGAGAATGACAGCCTCTTCAGCCAGGCTCTGAAGGACCAGGAGGCCAAAGTGCGCCAGCTCACCGCCCGGAGCGAGGCCCTCTCCAAGGAGCTGGACACCCTGAAACAGAGGTGTACTCGGGATGCCCGCCAGGCACAAGCCAGAGAGCAAGAGCTGCTGGAGCTGCAGAGCCGGCAGGCTTGTGCCCACGCCAAGGAGACAGAGCAGCTGCACAGCCAGCTGCAGAGCCTCCAGCAGCAGCACCAGCAGATCGCGGAGCAGATGGCCGCGGCGGAGCAGGCTCACGGCAGCCTGAAGCAGGAGCTGCAGGCCAGACTGCAGACGGTCACTCGCGAGAAAGATGAGCTGCTGCAGCTGTCCATGGAAAGGGGCAGGGCGCTTCAGAGCAAGCAAGCGGAGATCCGCCAGCTTGAGGAGAAGCTGGAGACAGCAGATGTGGCCAGGAGGCATGCGCTACAGAGGTTTGAACAGGAGGCTGTGGCCGTGGACAGTAACTTGAGAGTACGAGAACTTCAGCGCAGGATCGATGGGATCCAGAAGGCCTATGATGAACTCAGGCTGCAGTCTGAAGCCTTCAAAAAGCACAGCCTGGGCCTTTTAAGCAAGGAGAGAGAACTCAACGCCAAACTCCGCCATCTCTTCCCATAGGAAGCTTCTGTTTCCTCTTTCCTCTAGTTTAGAATTGAAATATTTGTGCCTTAGCATTATGTGTATTATACTTTTAAGCACAATAGGAAGAAGAAAAGCTGCTTTACTATGATCTTGTGGTTATTACTATTGTAACGCTAACACTGATTTTCAGTCCTACCACCTAGAATACACAAGATTTACCTGACTTCTTTCTGCGCCTTTGAAATCCTCCAAAGTTTGCTATCATTATCTCTACCTTCCTCATAACCTATTCATGCTCAACCTCAGATATCTTCGTATATCCTAAGATTTTAAATTAGCAGCTCCTATGGGCTTAAGGGAATCTGAAATGCAATGAGATGTACTATGGTGAAAGTAATTTAGTATAGTTCCCCCTTGGAGATTGGTAGGCTTGTAGTCTCCCATAGTTTAAATTATAAACTGTAACAGTTAATAGCATGATAATAGCATAGAGAGCTCACAGAAAAAACTGTCATATTTTGCAACTGGCCAAACAGTTTACTGCTTCATCTGCTTTACAGCAGTATCCTTTTGATTTTATTTTACTTGCACTAGTTTGGAAAACAAAGATTGAAATCAGTAAGTTCTTTACCAAAGCAGGCAAACTTTATTACAGTCATTCTATATGAGCAATAAGATTCAAATAAGTGAAATCAACCAGTTTGTATTTTTCCTGCAAGCTGAGGTCACATTCCATTTTCTTGGGTTTTTCCCTTAATGAAGACAGGATATAGAGGTACAAGGTTGCAAATATCAGTAGTTTCATTTAATATTACATAATGTGCTAACAGAAAAAGGCCCCAATTTAGGTAGCATTCAGAGCAGACTGGGTTCGATACATGAAGCAATGCAAAGTGATTGTTTTGTTTCTATTAGCATATTTCCTTGCAATTAACTTTTTCGTTTAAAAAAAAAAACCATCTAGGGGCACTTGGGTAGCTCGGTTGAGTGTCTTACTCGTGATTTCAGCTCAGGTCATGGTCTCCTGGTCTTGGGATCAAGCCCTGCATTGGGCTCCATGCTAGATGTGAAGCCTGTTTAGGCTTCTCTCTCTCCCTCTCCCTCTCCCTCTCCCCCTCCCCAGCTCTTTCTCGCGCTCTCTCTCAAAAACAAACAAACAACCAAACATCTAAACAAAAAATATATATGTATACTTAACAGCATGTTTTAGGAATACCTAAATATGTAGATGCATACAAACATAATAGTTATTATATATATTTATAGAAAATTCTTAAAGAGGTAGTTATAAAAATATACTTAGTGCTTACTTATATCCCTGTTTTTAGTTGATATAGAAACATTATTATGAATACCCCTCAAAATAGATTGTAATATGTCGACCTCAAAGGGCCGTGGACCTGGGAGGGGGTGGAGGAACTGAGAAAAAGAGAGGACAGTATAGCAAGGCACAGGAGACCCCAAGCCAACAGGCCAAGGCACTGAGGTTTATTGTAGATCTTCTTATATACGTTTTCAGGAAAAACAGATCAGCAATGATTAACAACAGAAGCGTAGCAAAGCATGTCAACAATGTACATCTGATTCAGCTATCATACGTATTTGCGTACTTGCGAATGAGAGCAGACTTGCAGATACGTATGTTCCGATAAAAATCTTTACCATAGAAGCAAAGACAAAGAAGGGAGTGAATGCACTGTGCTATATACATCTGGCTTTCTTTAAGCAAAACATCCCTATCGGTGTACTAAAGAACAGACCACATTTTCCAAGGGCAATTCATTCAAGTCCTTTCAGGTTATTTTTAACCTTATGATCTCCAGTTTTCTCAGAGATCTTGGACCCTGAATGAATATGGGCCTATGGTCATTATGGTGTTCTGTTTCCCATAGTAATATAGTATTTTTCTTACCTCACAGGGGCCAAGAGTCCCAAGAGTTACCTAATAATTTGGATTTATTAAAAAGTATTACTTGCTATCTTAAAGAAATTATTTTTTGAGAGAGAGCATGCGAGCAGGAGAGGGACAGAGAGAGAGGGAGAGAGAGAATCACAAGCAGGCTCCACACTGTCAGTTCAGAGCCTGATGCGGGGCTCAGATCTCACAAACCATGAGATCATGACCTGAGGCATGACCTGAGAATTAGATGCTTAACTAACTGAACCATCCAGACGCCCCTTGGAATCTTTTTAATAAGCAATTTTCCAATGTTACTTTACCTCAGGCAGTTTTTTAAACCTATTTTCTCATAGTCCTACTAAGATTGTGATATTAAATACAAATTCCAAGAAACCACATTGATGGCCTGAAAGGACTATTTACTTCTTACATATTACCAAGGATCAGAATATAGGAGCTAGTTTAATCATGGTTGTCCCTGTTCAGCTCATACTATTTGTCATTGTGCTGAAGCACTTTGGATGGCTGGCTTTATTTAATCCATAGGGCCTTTTGAGAAGGTAATTATGTTTATTTCTACTTCAGAAAAGAAAAAACTGGGATTCAGTAATTTTCTCAAGGCGACTTGGTCCCTGTGGAAGCTGGGATTTTGATGACATACCCCATTGAACCCCATTGAACAATTTCTTGACTGTCCACTGAGTGCAAAATTCAGAGGTTAGGCACTTAGAATAAGCATGAAGAAATATCTTTTCTGCCTTGGCAGAGCTCTCACACAGTCTAGTCTAGGCACATAAAGCAATTATATACACAAAACAAAGTAGTTATATATAGTGTGATGTGTTTTCACAGGGGGTGTTATGAGATCACAGTGGGTAAAACACACACACACACACACACACACACACACACATACACACAGAGTAGCTAACTCTGCCTGGGGTTAAAGGTCAGGAAGGTAGAGAGGATTAATTGGCAGGGATAACCAACACAAGAATTGACACGTAAGCTGGTTCTTAAATAAGTAGTAGAATTTCATCTATGGAGAAAAAGATTTGAGACAGCATGTAGAAAACCACAGAGGTTTTTAAAAAATGTGCAGGATATTTGGGGACATCATAAATAGTTGGGAAGAGGTTCAGAGAAGCATGTCTATGGATAAAACTGGAAGAGTAGGTTGTGGACAGAATACTGGGAGCCTAGAAAGCCAGGCAGACCCCTTATATTGGGGGGGGGGGAGAAAAGGGAGGAGGGGGCAAGCCTAGAAACATAGCCACAGAAGAGCCTTCCTCTTCCCAGCCAGGTTTGGGGGGTTGTGGTTTGCAAGGGGCCTGGTGAGCATGTGCACCAGCACCCCTTCCTTTCTCCCACCAACACCCCCAATGTCTTTCAGTGAGCCCAAGGTCGGTCCACTTGGCTCAGCAGGCTCTGGGGTGGTGGTGTAGCTCACCCAAAGTTTTATGCCCAATGCTTGTGGAGAAGGCAGCTTCTGTGCAGAGGCAAGGTGGGTCTTGAAAACGAGGGAATCCTGGTGCCCCCATACTGAAGTGTGGTCTGTTGGAGGACTTAGCAGAGGGGACTCCTTTTGTGGTAGGGAAGGGTGTGTCTGGAAGAGTGCAGGGGTGGGTAAGGTAGGGGGACAGGGGCGTGTGTCCCCTAAAACATGGGCACAAAAGAAGGGCCTCAGGTGCCAGGGTCTGAGGACATTACTTTTCAAAGTCACGCTAAGGCATTTGTATTAGGTTGTATGATATGAAATCGACACTTTGTGAGTCATCAATTATTAGATATTGACCGGTGACGTTGACTCTAATAGCCTTTTGAAAGATATTAAAAGGATAGTGGGTAACGAGAAGAGAAAGTCAAAGATGGATGCCTTGGAAAACTGATGGAAGAGCCTGATGTGGAAACCAAAGGTAAAAGAAATGTGGAAAAAATTAAAATTCCTTACAACTTACAGCCTATTGACAAGTACTTGGGATAGGCAGAGTGAGCTTCCTGGAGGAACTGAACTGCCTCAATCTTAATACTTGGCTAAGGGCAAAAGGCAACCTTAGTTTGACATTATAGCCTGACCTCCAGGATCCTGCATATTTTCTGTATAAAAATCCCTTTGGAAACTTCCTTTATCGCTACACCACCACCAACAACCCTTTCCCCAAAGATATATGTTAGCAATCCTCCTCCAAACATATGGCTCATTGATACACATCTGAAGGGTCTCATGATTAAGATTTTACTAGACAGTAGTAAATGACCTTATCCTAACAGCGGCTAGCCCCCTCAAGGTCCTGGAAACCTTGGCTTGCAAATTCCTTAGAGACTTACACTATCCTAACCCTCTCCCTACTTAAGAGTATATAGTCAGTCACTCCTCACAATCCTAGTGTAGCTCTTTCTGACCACAAGTCCTGTCCCTGTGCTTTACTAAACCACCTTTTTTGCACTGAAGATGTCTCAAGAATTCTTTCTTGACCATTCACTCCCGAACCCCAACATTTCACATCGATATGGAGCCCACAATACAGAATAGGAAAGAGGAATGTGAACTTATCATGTATCAAGTGGTTTTCATTTCAGCCACATACCAACTCATTCACTATTTTACAGATGAAAAAAGTGAGACTCAGGGAGGGTGACTTTCCCGAAGCCAAAGAGTTTTGCTGCGGGGGACGGGGGGGGGCGGCGCTGGAGCAGGAGAGAGGTTTGAACATAAGCCCCATCTGGCAGGGCCAGCTTCATGGCGTGTCACTTGTATGGACTTCCACACTTGGTTTAACGCTCTGCTGTTCCTGCCTTGAGATGCTTGATCATTGTGTGACAAGGGGCTCCACATTCTCCTTTTGTGCTGGGCTCTTCAAATTATGTAGCTGGGCTTGTTTTCTCGCTCAAAACCCCATGTTTTCTCCCACTATACAAACTACCTTCTAACCAGCCACAGAAAAGCATTGTTTTTTCCCCTCTGTGCTCCACACCACTTTGCATTCCACTCTCTCAGTGCTTATCTTGTGTGTAATCTGTGACCCACAGCCAGATCCGGGGATGAGCAACCAGTTTAGTCATTGTGGTATGCTGATCTAGAAAATGATGCTTATCACTGGAACAAATTAAAAAAGTGAAGTGGCCACCTCCAAAC